TCGTTCTGGCCTTCAACATCAAAATGTACGCTGTATCCAAACTCAACAAACAGCACGAACAGACATGGATCAACCTTCAGAAAAGGTTGAATTCGTTCCAGTTCCCGTACCACAAGCTATTTCCCAACGAAGATGTTTATCAATTTGCGAAGAATAAGGCCGTCTCCGTCGGAAGCTGCGAAGGATATATATTCCTTCGCTGCTAACAACTACAGGCTTCATACTGGCATCCAACAACGCTCAAGTTAACATCACCACACACAAGCAACCATTTCATATATTTTCTATATTTGTGGGATACCCCGGAACGGGTAAGTTCAATTGGAATCTTTTTCACGTGCACTTTAACTTCTCGTAGTACCCTTGCCCTCTGCACGCCAACAGATTTTCATCCCTTAATCTTGCTGTAGGTTCAATTAAAATCTAAAAGACCTATTATGAGGCTATCAAATTTTTGTTACTTTTGTCTCCTAAAGGAAAATCTTCTGCTATCCAGTATGCAGCCCAGGATCCACTGGAAAATCTGGGCTTAACCGAAGCCATAATAAGCAAAACCACTTCGTCGGGACTGGTAAAACTTCTTGCGAAGAAGAAGAAAGGAATGATTCTCTCTCCAGAGATCTTCGACATATTAAACAAGGTTCTTAAGTCTGATGAAGACAATGCTGCCGGAGATATCCAGCTTCTCTGCAAACTATTTTCGGGCGAGCGCTGCTCATATTACTTCTCTACAGAGGAAAGCAGATTGATCCTTCCAATTACGCCCTTCTGTCTCCTTGGTTCCACGCAACTGGTAAATGCTGCCAAACTGATCGCACGCATGGATCAAGGACACGGCCTAGTGGATAGAATACTTCTTGCCATCCCCCTTGCCTTTCGTCCAACCCTTATTGAAATGGAGGCAGCCACCGATTATTTATCCACCGAGGTGGTAAGTGACTTCTCTGAAATGTTCGAGAATATAAATGGAATTGACGAAAACGTTGAACTCGTTTTCGACGACGGAGGGAAGGAGCTACTCAGGGAGAAAATGGACGAGTTCGTAGCTGAGGTCAATGAAGCCATCAGAAATGGGAAAGTGCCACCCAAATCAAAGATGCCAGAACTTATTCCGAGAACAGCTTGCGCTCTACATGTCTTTAATCACGCCCTGGAAGAACTATTGGCCGGTGTACCCTCGTCACAGCCTGATACAACGATATCCAAAACGACACTAGAAAGTGCAGCATCTTTCGTGAATCACCTCGAGACACAGAAGGAAATACTCTGTCAGGTTAGCAATCATAACAACAAAAACTTGCATTTTTCTTTAATTACCTCTATTGTACGCACATTCCAATTATTCTTAGTAGAAACTCGGCCTTGTCCTATTGAAAATCCGCTTATTTCATTTGTTCTATAAATGTTTTCTATTCGCCAATAGAAAATGATGGCGTGCGCAACGCTCTTTGAATGATTTATTCACATCTTAGAGAGCTTTGCACTTGAGTTTAGACAGTGGACAGTAATTTTCCGTAGTTTTCCATCACACCGTTTAGCGAATGTTTTTCAAAAACGTGCTTCTTCAATATCTCAGGCAATTCGAAGTAAAAGAAAATGAATCATTACCTGGTTGCGAATTTTTTTCCGCGCTTTTTCTGTTTTTTTTTTTTTTGTCATTGGCCAATGTGATACGATTAGTTTTGTTTTTCTAAACAAATTGTAAAACTACTATGCTACGTTACCTGAGTCAATCACGAACTAAATAACTATTACCCCAGGTAATCCAGGCTCACTTTTTGCGTCACGTACGCATATTCAAATAGAGAGAACATATGGGGAGAAGTTTAGTTCTTGAAATTCACTTGAACATGGAAATATACATCCATGAAACTTACCATGTGGCGAGTATTTTTTCTCCCTAATATGTACAGTAAGTTTAGGTATAATAATCTTCTTAATCCTTTCCTTCAAAGTAAGGAGGAAATTCCATACCTAAACTTCGCCCTATATGTTCTCTCTATTTAAAATTGTTTACGTGACTAAAATAGTTAGGATACAAACGACGTACAAGAGCCTTATTTGCCACCATCTCCATTCCTTCTTCGAGGGGCAATCGAGTACCACCGAGGCACTTGGGAGGAACGCAAACACCATGCAGTAGCTGAATTGCGTAATAGTCTCTGTGTGGATGATCTCCTCAGCGGTGGGGAGAAAGTGGAAGAAGCAAGAAAGCTGAAGGAAAAATCAATAGAGATTTTTGAAGATGCAACCTTTGCACTCCATGAGAGGCAGTCGAATGAGCCTAAAAATTGGCTTGGGATGATCAAATGACAGGCAGAGTGAAACTCAAGTGGCAAAGGTGCGAACAAAGTCCACTCCCACAGATAACCGTAAGCCGCTGATCGCAGAGAGCCCATTCAAGAAATTTATTTGCACGGTTTCGGTGATGTAAGTGGCTGTGGTGTTGATGCATGCAGTGTATGCAGTTATTAAGAAGGAGTCTGGGGCCACCTAGGGGCTTGTAGGAACAAGCAAGGCGTAACGATTACCCGACTGGAGTTGATATCAGCGGATATGGTTACCAATTTATTAGCAAACGTGAGAGTTGCCTTAAAGGAATTGTCTGTATTTGTCTCAAACGGATGGCTGGATAGTACCTTTTCTCTCTTCTTGATCCATGGCAGAGGGTAGTGTAAGCAGTTTGTAGAAAAACGGGTGCAGAAGATCCCTGCCCATCCAGAGATATCGTAAAGGCATGTCCCTACACAAGAAAATCCAAACTTCTGAAGAAAGCACAGCTACCAAGGAGTTGTTCAAGACTGCTGTAGATGACACTGACAGGCTGTACGTCCTTCAATGATTGAAACGTTTCACTTACGCAAGGCTCTGAACATTTGTGCGTGGATTTCCAAATTTGTGCACAATCTACGTCATCCCGATCGGAAATGACTGATCCCTTAAAGGCAACTGGGGAGATACAGAAACAGCATCTTCTCTGGGTAAAGGGAGCTCAGCAGAGTTTCGAGTTTTAGGATGACTTTTTACGACTTTACCTGCAACCTAACCCTGATAGAGTTTTGGAATACCTTGGAAAGCTGCAAGGACTGTATCCTGTATACCTACCCGAAAAACATCTATTTACTAAGGAGTTGGTACTCCGTGAACATCGGGGCGCTCTACATGGGGGAGTGGGCTTGACGATGTCTATTGTTAGGAGGATGCGCTGGGTGCTATGGTTGAGGAAGATTAGATTTTTAAAATTTTTAGAGCGTTAGCTAAATTTTATCTTTCTCTAATTTTGTTTTACAATTTTATATGTTTATTTGTGGGCTTCCTGTAAAGTAGCTTTTAGCTAAGTGGAGTGCCACGTAAAATAAAGTTCTGTTCTGTTCTGTTCTGTAGCAGTAACAAATCTCCCACCTGGCTATCTCTCTGTGGATCGGACACGAGGAACACACATGACGAGCTTTGCCCACCAAAAAAATTTATGCAAATTAGGCTAAGCCGGATTTGAGTTCCGCCTGGCAATTATTAACTGTAAGAGAAGATCTCAGTTCGCGCCCACAGCACGTTCAAGGTGTTGCGGATGAAGTTTCTGTAATTACTTTTTGGCACTTTTCGGCGTCAAAATTGCATAGTTTGGGTAACCCAAAACCCTTAAGCTGACCTTTCTTGTCATAACACGAATGTTTTCCAGAAAGGGACACGCGGTAATGTCGGTGTCTCTCGTGTGCAGGCATTTTTCCAGGTAAAACCCTCGCGTGGAATCAACTCATGTTTAATTTAACGCTCCTTTTATGCGCACAATGTAAGCCAAAGCAATTTTATAGTTAAACGTAAAGATCAGAATATTTTCTTCTAAGGATGATAAATGATCGACGCTGAACTAAATTATACG